GGGCGCGTGTGCGTGCATGCCCAAGATCCCGAGAGGAGAATGGAGGAGAAGGGATTGCGGCGTGACCATCCCCCCTGGGGGTGATTTCTCACTTTCTGTCTGTCTGTCTCTCTCTGTCTGATGAGCACACACGCCCTATAGCAAAAAAAAAAAATGTATGTGCTTTAGTCTATTTTAGTTTATTTCTCTGTCACAGTGTTGCCATTTTCTATTTTATAGCAATGATAACCTATCTCCATAGTATTACAATGCCATGATTAGAATGAAAAAGCATGCCTTCAGTTTGGTCCTTTAAAATAACATGTTTATATATGCAATAATTACAATTTTCACAACCATCTGTAAAATTAGCCCACTAGCAGGGCTGGCAGGTGGTGCAGTGGTTAAGGTGCTGGACTCCCACATGGCCAACCACAGTTCAAGTCCCAGACCTGGTAGCTTGCTTTCTCACTTTCCCTCTCTCTCTGTCTCTCTCTCTCTAGTCACGTTGGAAAAAATAATAATAACAAGTAAAAGAAAATAAATCTTTTTAAAAATTAGCCAAATAGTAATCAAGACTCAGAGTCAATGCCCAGTGAACAGAGGAAAGTAACCTAAAACTCGTGTCTTCCAGCTCTGACTCCCGGCTCTCTCCTTACTTCCTACTAAATAAGGAATTATTAACTTTTTAATTATTGCTTTTATAAAGAGTCCTTCCAAAAGATCTAATCTCTTAACGTATTCTTAATTGACACCAGAGAGAGAGAGAGCGAGAGTGGGAGGAGCGAGAAAGCATTCTGTGTGGGCGAGGTCAGACTGCGATCCCTTCTCGGACCACGATCCCTTCTCCTCCGCTGTCGGAATCTGGGGTGTGCACACACAAGCCTGCCATGTACTGCAGGCCAGCGGGACTGGGATTTGAACTGCTTGGTCAGCCATGTGCACTGTGTGCCCTCGGCACTTCTTTCCCTCTTCGAACTTGTTTGGATATTCGCATCAAAACCAGCCCTGTCTTAGTGTCCTGTACACCCGCAGTGAACAACATCTCCCTTTTCAAGAAAGTTGGTTTTATCTCCTTTTTTAAGAATAGATTTTGTGTGTTTGGTCGACCCTCATCCCGAGTCTCTTCAGACTTGCCTTCCTTGGGTTTATCTCCACCGAGCTCCACATTTTCACGCTCAGACCCTTTACTTACACTCTTGGCACTCCTGAAACACTCACTTTCAAAGAGATGGATATTTGCTGTAAGCAAATGGTCCTTGGTAGGTGTCCTGGCCACGTTTTTAATGTTTCCTAGTAGTTTATGTTCTGCAAGAAACGAACCGTGCTCCTGCAGAAACATGGTAATGTCCTTGGGCACCCGCTGGCCGCGCACTGGCTCCAGGCCCACACCCTGCGGAGCCCCGAGCGGGCCTCACGCTGTCACCCGCTGGCCGCGCACTGGCTCCAGGCCCACACCCTGCGGAGCCCCGAGCGGCCCTCCCGCTGTCTCCACCGTCTGTGCTAGCTGTTGAGGCCCTGAGCCGGATCTGTGCAGTCCGTTATAATAGCCTTGCTTTAATATATCCAAAAGTCCTTTACTTTTTTAACTGCATCAACACTTTGGACAGGTGTGTATCGCCTGCTGTTTCCACAGCAACACGACACGGAGGTTTGTTTTAGGTTCTTGTCGGATATTCAAGAATGCTGAGTAAGGGAGAAGTTCCATTTCCAGACTGGCTGGAGGCAGCTCAAGTAGGTCCATGGTGTTCAGCGCCCAGTCATCGTGGGTGTTCTCGGAATGTCAGGACATAGGTCCTCCCTCCCGCAAAATGCCAGTGCACTCTGCGTTTGGGTCGGCAGTTCGAAACTGATCTCAGAAACTCTCTCTTCTTAAGGGGAATAACTGCATTTGTTTTTTGGCCGTCTTATCAATTCTCCTAATTTAGGACATGTAACATATTCTAACTACCTCATTTAAAAAGATGAACACAATTGTTGTATTTAGGAAGAGCTTTTTAATATTTACATAAAACTTTTAAAGCCATGGTACACACATCAGTATTTAACTACAAATATTTCTTTAGTGTTAATAGAATTTTGCATATATAATAGATTTTTTATACGAATGCGCGAGTTTGCACATGATTTCCCTGAGACTTGCGAAATAGGAATTAGGGCCTGCCCGCTTACATGCGTCCGCTGTGTAAAACGCGGTTTTAGCTCGGAAGCCCCTTCCTGCCCCTGACGAGCATCGCATTGCCTTGTAGGTACGGCGCGCAGTCACTGGTCACCCTAATGTACATCATCGGGAGAGCCGTGACCACAGATCTGCAGATCTCAGAGGTAAGCACTTCACGCAGGGCGAGATGTAATGCCACCCCGGAAGCCGGTCTTGATGTAAGTAACTGGACTTGTACAGCTAGCAGTAATGTCCGCCCGAGTTAGTCTGCTCCGCTTCTGCTGGTGCTGTCACTACTGAAGGGAGTTTTCAATCACTTCATGCCTGAAAATGGAGACTGTGTGTTCACGGGGCCAGCCTCCACGCTTTTTCACCTGAGTCACTGCACGGCCTCTGCCCAGCTCCCGGTCCCCAGCTGGCTCTCCTCCGCCCCATCTTCGCTTGGCTGTGAATCACTGCTCTGCTCCCAGAGCTGACGGGGCTCTTCCCAGCTTGGAGAAGACGTTAAACCTTTAGGTGAGCACACGGAGACCTTCCTAATCTGGCCCTGCCTCACTCTCTGGCTCATTTTGTCACCTCCCACCAAGGGTCAGAAAGACAGATACTCCCAGCACTTCCTCCAGCCATACTGCACTCTTACAGATTTTCTTCCCCCTTCCTTCCTTGGAGTTTTCTTTATTTATGAACGTGTGTGTGCATATGCACACGAGAGGGAGAGGGAGACGGGGGCACACCCTCCATAGACTGGTCGTGATGCGGGTCCATCAGCTCTTGAGCACTAGTGCCTGGGCCCTGCATGTTTTAGGCTGACGGCATCAGGGATTCGAACCATGGTCACTATAGGATCCAGCTTCCCTTGAGCAGCGTGCCACAGAATGGCCCCAGATTTTCTTAAATCACTGCACTGCTTCATCCTTTCCATGTTTCCGAAGTTCCCTTCCGGGCAGAGGGAAGCAAAGCAGAGACATGCCCATGGTACATTCTGGAACACAGACCTGACTACAGCAGGACTCAGTCCTCTGGAGCTCGGGATTGCCTCCTGGGGAAGACACTCCTTCACGTCTGTTTGCAGCTGGGTGATTCCCAGTTATCTTTAAGATCCTGCTCCAACCTGCTCTTCTAGGAATTTCGTTTAAAGGCTTGGTCTCTATGCCTTGACCCTCCTGCCCCAGCTTCCCAGCTAGGACTGCAGGCGTGCACACTGTGGGACCCTTTCTGACAGGCTCTGGCTATATTGCCCAGTTCAGTCTCGAGCTTGCAGTCCTCGTGCCTCAGCCTCCCCAGTCCCTGGGGTTACAGCAGCACATGCTATGCCTGCTCTTTGGGCTGGATCAGGAATTGAACCCAGGCCTCCCATGTGGTCCCAGCCTGTGGAGCATGGTGTCTTAGTAACATGTACCCTTGTGACTCGGCCTCTAAAACTTTTTTAGTTGATAATTCATTCCTTCTGTAAGAGAGGGAAGCAGAGAGGCACCCCACAGAGTCTTCATAGTAAGAGGCCACCCCTAACCGAACCCCACCCCTAACAGAACCCCACCCCTAACCGAACCCTACCCCTAACCGAACCCTACCTCTAACCCTTCCCTACCCCTAACTCTACCCTACCCTTAACCGAACCCTACCCCTACCCCACCCAGCCTCAGCCAGCCTGCACCAGGACACGTGCACGCGTGCCATATGCACAGGGAAACTTCGCGCCTTGAACCTGGGACTTTCTCCTGTGGCTTCAGCGTCATGGAGTTTGTGTTACAACTTCCTCACTCTAGCCCAGATTTTTTTTTTTTTTGAGAGGTTTTCTACCCTACCCTTAACCGAACCCTACCCCTACCCCACCCAGCCTCAGCCAGCCTGCACCAGGACACGTGCACGCGTGCCATATGCACAGGGAAACTTCGCGCCTTGAACCTGGGACTTTCTCCTGTGGCTTCAGCGTCATGGAGTTTGTGTTACAACTTCCTCACTCTAGCCCAGATTTTTTTTTTTTTTGAGAGGTTTTTGCTTTAGGGTGTGTGTGCTTGCCAGAAAGACAGAAAGAGACAGAGAGACTGAAAGTGAGAAATCACCCCCCAGGGGAGATGGCCACACCGCAGTCCCTTCTCCTCCATTCTCCTCTCAGGATCTTGGGCACGCACACACACGCACCCGGCATGAGTTTAAGCCACCGGGTCCAGGACTTGAACAACGGTTGCCTACGTGGGAATCCAGTGATATAGCCATTACGCTAACTGCTGGTCCCCAGGAATTTTTTAAGAAACTAATTTACGCTCTTTCCTCCTTCATGTACCTGAATCATCCTATGAATATGTTTATCGGAGTGTGCACCACGGTGTGTTGTAATCAGCGTGTACACCCCGGGAGACTGTCGTGTGCTTCATGAGGACGAACACCGTACGCAGCCATATGCAGATATGAATTTAGTGCAGGCCTGTCATCCCTTGGCTTTGCTTCTCTTGAGCTGCAGTTTTGGGGGCTTTCTCCACAGGGAGCCAAGCACGGTTCTAGGCTTGTGTGACCCCTGGCCCTCGGCTGCAGAAGATCTCAAGTGGCCAGCCGCAGTTCCTATCCTCTGGTGTCTTGAAAAAAACACACATGCACATGCCCTGACCCCCATCAGAGGGAGGAATGGAGGAAAGGGACCTGGTGCGGCCAGGCCCAGGGGAAGGGGGGACCTGCACGCTCTCTCTCCATGTCTGACCATGCACAGGCCTGGGGGAAGGGGGGACCTGCACGCTCTCTCTCGCTGTCTGACCATGCACATGCCCTTTGGGATTAAAAAATACAATTATCGGAACCAGCAGTTGGCATAATGGCTATGTTGCTGGACTCCCATGTAGTCCACCGTGGTTCGAGTCTTGGACCCTGTGGCTTAAACTCATGCAGGGTATGTGTGCGGGCGTGCCCAAGATCCTGAGAGGAGAATGGAGGAAAAGGGATTGCAGCATGGCCATCCCCCCTGGAGGGTGATTTCTCGCTTTCTGTCTCTCTGTCTCTCTCTGTCTTTCTGGGGAGTGCACACGTCCTATAGCAAAAAGTCTCAAAAAGAAAAAGAAAAGAAAAAGAAAAAGAAAAAGAAAAAACCCCAACAATTATTCATTTCCCAGTGTTAAGGTTGTTTTTAAGCATATTTTTTCGAAGCTCGCCCCAGCCGTACTGTCGTCACTTCTAACGGACACAGTGGCTGTGCGCCTGGGCACAGTCGGCTGACCCCGTGTGCGAGCGCGCGATGGTCAGGGCAGGGTGACCAGCACAGCCACCGCCCCAGCCTTCCCTCTCTCCCCGGGATAAACCCCGCTGCACTCCGGGGTGCCAGAACGTTCTCTGAGGAAGCGCAGTGGGGTTGGGTGGCGCGTCCCCGCCCCTCCCTGCCCGGGCCTTCCTGGCCTCTCGTGAGCAGCTTCGCCATCGGCGTTCAGACGCGGCCAGCTCCCCGGCATCCGTGTGCGAGTGAGACCACGCAGGGTGCTGCTTTCCGTGAACGTGGCCGGATACTCAGGACCTGACCATCCCACTCTCAGATTTTCCCTGCAGAAATGGACCTAGGGCGCGTAGAGACTGGGGCTCAGAGGCTCCGCTCACACTCGCCCGAACCGGACCGCCCGCGCCCATGGGCAGCGAGGGGAGGAAGTGTAGGCTGTTCGCACGATGGAGCGCCGCCCCCGACAGAAGGGACAGGCCTGGAGGCACGGGCAGGACCTCAGGGCGATGGTGCTGAGTGAGGGCACCAGCCGTCTGGGATATGGGGCCAAGCTGGGCCAGCCCTTGCCTGAGGCGCAGGGTGGGCCTGGGCGCTGGCGGAGCTGCACCTTGATGGCACTGTGCTTCCTAAGGTGTCCCAGCCACCAGAGCTCTGGCGTGTGCAGCTGCGGAGATGCCGCTTACTGTGCATGGAGCATATCCCAGTGGCTCTGATCACACTGGCCACCAGGGCCAGGCAACATGTGGAGCAGGAAGGAGCTGTGTAAACAAGGGAAGAAAACCGGCCTCCCCAAGCAAACAAGTAAGCTCATAAAGGCCTGGAATTTGGCCCCAAGCGAAATGAAAAAAAAAAAAAAAAAAAGAGATGCAGTCAGTTATATATAGTAGCTGTTAGGAAAGAAGAACCTCCAATTCCTGAAGGAATAATCTTTGGATTTTTTGTCTGCCTGAGGCTGAGCTGTCAGGGATCCCTTGAACAGAGAGGAGAGCGCCCACAGAGCGGCCGAGAGGACCGCTCCGAATCGGCCCAGGTCGTGTCGGTCCCACCTGACGGCATCCGCTTACCTTTGCCTCTGCAGAGCCCAGTCGAGTGTGCTGTTTAATGAAGGAATGGACACATTTCATATAAATTTAGCCATCGGTAAAGTTCCGGAAGTCTACAGTCCTGATAGTTTTTTTTGTTTT